CTTTTTCTGAAGTTTTTGTGAGAAGATGGAAGAAAAGAACTATATCATAAGAACACCATGAATTAACATAAATATCACCTTTAAATATGGTGATCCTTCCTTTAGTATTTTTCTTGCTTTCTGGTGCATCTCTGTAGTTTTTTCTGTCCCTTTCCTACCTAGTACTCTAGATTGCCTGAGACTCTTCCTCTGCCCAATACACTTCCTCCACATCCCACTCAGGAAAACCAAAGCTGGTACAGTAGAGTCCAGGAGAACAAAAGCAAGCACAACGGGCTGAGGATATAGCTCAGTGGCATAAGCACCTGCCTGGCAAGTGCAAGGTCGTGAGTTTGATCCCCAGTACCACAAAAAACAAAAACAAAAACAAAAGCAAGCACAGACTCATGTCCTCACAGAACATATATGGGAAGTCCCAATCCATCCCTGTCAATGTGAAATGAGAATTATCTACTTCAGAACTCTTGTACTCATGTTGACTTTGACTTAAGACTACCGTTCCAGAGAAGGTGGATCTTACAAAAGGAGAATGAACCCACTGGAAGTCGGGAGTTAGGGAAAAGAATAATTAGAGTTAGGTGAGAAATAGGTTTCAATATAAAAAGACTTTGAAACACATTGGTAAGATCTCAATGTAGTGTTCAAATGGGGGGAAAGAAGTTTACAAAAATTAACCACCAACAGTGTCAATCTCAGAGCTGCATTTCTGGACATGAACTTATAATGGTATAATAGAGGTCAAGCCCGGCACGTAGTGTGCACTAAATAAACAGTGGTCATCATTATTACCCTACTCAAGCCATGAAGCCATACAGGCACAAAAGGGATACATAAAGAGCTCAAGGTCCCTAAGAACTGTAATTGAGATCTGATTCAAGATCTGAATATTATTAATACCATAGACTGGGTGAGAATCCATGGACTGCTGGTAGGATCCTGTTTCCTGATTGCTAGCCCTTTCCCACACCCTTTCCCCAGTAACAACTGGTAATACAAACTTTAGGGTATGATAGTTTCTGGCCTCAAGTGGTGTCCAAGTTAAGACTTGGAATCTGAAGCACAAGATAAGATGGCTCAAGGAGCCCTCAGCATTTTTCCCTTCCACAACATATTGAAGCTAATAAACCAAGAAATTAGTTTGTCTTCAAGGTTGTCTGCTCCAGGATTGTCTGTAGTTTAGCAATGTCTCTCTACCCTCTACATTCATTGCTTTAGAAGAGAAAAAAGTCACAAAGGAAGTCTGAGAAACTCCACAGTCTTGTCTCTTTATTTTCATGGCTTCAATTTTTTAATTCATTGCTGATATATAGGCATAAATACAGTGAACAGTGCCTGGAAACTGCAAAGAGATAGGGTCGTGAATCTTCTAGTTAAAAAAAGTCATATGGTGGGAAACCATGATATAGGAGAAAGCAAGAGAGCACCATCTCTTTTCCACCTGGATTCGTCAAGATAAGGTAGGCTTTGTTGCAATAGCAAATCAGTACCCAGATCTCAGTAGCTTAATACCACACAGGTTTATTTGTTGCTGTGTCATCTATAATATATGTGACCACAGTAGAGGAAGAGAAGCTGTGCAGATAGTAATTTTGATCTTAAATACTTCACTTGGAAATGAATCATACCACTTCACTTCCACGGCCTTAATGAGAACTTGTCACATGATACAGCCCACCTGCAAGATGACTAGATATATTCTATACAGCTAGGAAATGGAAGCGACATTGGTGAGCACAAGTAGTCATCTCTAGCATGTATAACAGCTTTTCCTGTTTCTGCTTCCCTTTGTGTGCTGCTGAGGCCTATCCATAATCCATCTCTTCTCTTCTGTCTCTCCACCCACTAGGAAAATCTCCTCCTGTCCTTACACCTGTCCAGCTGTCCCTCTGTTCCCACACCTTCAAGCTCAGCGTTGAGGCTAACCAGAGACTAGCTCTAGAGGGTGAGAAAGACAGACACCTCTTGTAGGGCTGCCAACCAAACTAAGCCTTTAACTGTTTTCTTTCTAATTCTTAAATCACTTTATGAGATACTTAGTATTACCCCTACTTCATAAATAAACTGAAAATTAGAAATATATGCATGTTTTCAAGTGATACAGCTAGTAAATAAAAAAATAACGATTCAGAGTTTCATATACTGAGTTCTTAGCAAATATTTATTAAGTGCAACCAATATTGAGTCCCTCACACCCTAGAAGTTATGAATCTCATCTTTGGATGTGGGCACACTTAGAGTCTAGACAGAAAAAGTTACTTAGCTTTTCCTTGTCTCATTTTCACCGTCTATAAACCCAAAACAATAACACCATTTATTTCACAGGGCTAATGCAAGAATTTGATGAGCTAATGCATATGAAGTGCTTAGTGCAATGTCTGGCATATAATAAGCACTTAAAATGTAGTTACTGGTGAAAGGACCAGCTAATGTATATCAATAGAGTATGATCATGACCATGATGAGGGTAAGTGCAGGATGCTTCAGAGCATGGAGAAGGGAAATATATATCGACTTACTACATGCTTTTTCACGGTGTGTGAACACTAAGCCATGTTTTGAAAAGTGAAAATTATCCTGTTGAACAAGGCTGGAGAGTAAGGCAGGACAATCTTCCGAGTCAAAGAAATAGATGCACAAGTTACTGGAGGCAAAACATTCTAGAGCCAAATTTGAATGGCACAAAGCAGAGGGTGGATGGCCAGCATGCCAGTATAACCAGAAGAGGTTAAGACGATCAGAGGTGAAGCGGAAGAGGCATGAGTGGCCAGCTCATCCAGGACTCTGCAGACCCAATAGTATTTCTGTGAGCATCATTTTGAGACAGTGGTAGCCCTGGAAGTACTTAAGCAGAGTGCCTTTCTCTGGAAAAAAAAAAAAAGAAAACGCTCTAGTTGCAGCTCAGAATGGCTGAGAAAAGATTAAGGCAAAGGCAAGGCTGCAGAATGAGAACAATTAGGAGCCCGCTGAAAGAAGCCAGGTCAGAATATGAGTCATTTATTCTCTCAAATCTTTTATTTCTTTTTCTGACACGTGAAACCAGTAGTCCTTGTCTTGCCAGCGTCAAAAGACTGAACAGCGGCTAGTAAAAACAACCACTTACTCAGGGTTTAGCACTTTTCTGCAAAACAGTAGATAGTAAATATTTTCAGCTTTGCGGGCCTCCTGGTGTTTGTCACGCCCATGAAGTTTGCCATGAAGGCAGAAAAGCAATCGTAGGTAATACACATGAGTATAATTGTGTCACAATAAGATTTTGTTTGCAGACACTAAAATCTGAATTTTAAACAATTTCTCATGTGTCACATAATATTACTCTTATTTTTTCTCAAATATTAAAAAATGTTAACATTCTTGTGTCACTCTAGGCATTAAAGGCTGTCTTTCTCCCATACGCTGTAGTTTACTGACCTCTGACTTAGAATTTTGAAAAGGACAAAGTTCCCCATATCTTCAAGGGAGGAGTATTATGACGACTGTTTACTCATGGTTACATATTATAGTATGCCATGGTTATTGATCAAGCTTGCTATTTGCATTGTTTTTGAAACGATGAATTCCTGTTTGCCACTTAATCTGCAATGTCCTACCTCTCTCTCTCACTCTATTTTGCATAAGGATTTTCTGCAGTTTTGTTGGTGAATGACTAGAGGCCCTTGTAGCCTCTGATCAAGCAGAAGATACTTTCTAGGCTTTTGCTTTACTTTCTTCAGAGGCAGGTGACAGGTCTGAAGTGGCTGGGACATTAAAGCCATGCAAACCAGGGCTTGAATAGCGCCTATGCCAGGGTCTGGTTTTGTGACCTTGAGAAAATTATATTCTCTGATTCACCACTTCTTTATTCATTCTTTCATTTATTCAACAACCATTCACTGAATACCTACTATGTGCCAGATACAATGCAGGGCCACAGGACCACACTAGTAAGTGAGGCACACTCTTCCCCTTCAAGAGATGTCAGAATTAAGAAAAAGGTGTCACTTATAGTACAGAGAGGTTATTGCAGTGAGAAGGAATTCCTGGGGTGTTATGTGATGACAGAGAAGAGACATCTGTCCCAGATAAGTGTGACAGTAAAGATTCTCTAGCTACAAGGAGTTCCAAACACACCCGAAGGGTGAGTATTTGCACGCAGGTCAAGAAGAAAGAATGAGTGTGTTCAATGCAAGGTGGCTGGCCTAGACAAGAAGAGAGGGAACTGTTGGCCATGGAGAGTTGTTTATTACACTTGGGAAGAACAGAGAACGCAGGGGTGAGAGGGGAGAGAGACAAGGCAGGAAGAGCAGGCAGGAGACTCATCTGGAGATCTAAGAGCTGGGTTAAGGGTTTTAAAGTTAATTTGAGGACAACGGGAGCACTAATGTGTTTCAGCCAAAGGTAGAGAACAGGTAGAAGGGAAGCAAGCATGCAGGCAAGGAGAAACAATTGGAGACTGCCTAAGTGATTCAGCTAAAAACACAAAGGTGGGTTGAACTAAGTGGGAATGAAACTGGAGAGAAAGAGGAATCTTCAAGAGATTTTCTTGCATAAAATTTATAAGACCTCATGGTTGATTATAAATAAGAGATGAAATGAAATAAAGAGTAAAGGGGACTCCTAGGTTTTTAGACTAAGATGCTTGCTACATGGGTGGTGGCACCATTTCCAAAGAAAGGGAGGACTGGAGGACATGAAATTTGGCTGGGAAAATGACATGTTCATTTATAATACTACTGACCTTTATGAGCTGTCCTGAGTTGTAGAAACATTGTATGTGAGGAATCTGGCAGAGTACCTGGCATGTCGTGGGTGCTTGATAAATGGTGGCTTTTACTCTTGTTTCATTTTTAAAAATCTATTTCAGGCCCCTATTTTGTTAAAGCATGATGTTCTTTTGCTGTTTAGTGTGAGCTCTTCAGAGCCACAAGATTTGCAGTTTTGTTCACCGTACCTCACGTTTTCACGTGTTTCTTTCTCTCCTTCTCTTCTGCATGCTGCCTGGGGATTGGCTTCCTTGTGGTCAGCACCAATGGGCAGCGCCCAGGTGACCCCGGGGACTCCACTCTGCCTCCTCACCACAGGTGATCACCAGAGCCCTGGGCAGGTGGGAGGGGATCGAGAGTGGCCCATGCGCAGTGGGTCCTCCATGCCCGGTGCCCCAGAGAGGAACTGGCAGTCCCCCCACTGCACCCTCTCATCTACCCACCCACCCTTCAATCATCCACCCTCCCACCATCCATCCACCCATCCATCCATGCATCCCTCTGTCCATCCACCATCTATTCACTCATCTATTCATCCATTTTATAATGCTTACTAAATACCTATTACGTGTCAGGCACTGTTCTAGATACTGAGGAATACAATAATAAGGATAAGAGTATACTGCATGCTCATATGACTTTCTAGAAGGAGAAACTGGTCAAAAAATTACACAAATAAATGTGCAACTGTGAGTAATGCTATGAAGTGCTGGTCACAGTGTTCAAAACAAACACACTGGATCCAAGGGAACACTTCACAGGGGAAGTGACAGCTGAGCTGTGATCTGAGGTTGGAAAAGAATTGACCTAACAAGTCTATTCTTAGGAAATCTGGCCACAATTTCAGGTCTACTATTGGTCCTAATATCCCTTAAATGTGATGAGCCCCACTTTCCCCACCTGTTAAGTAGGAGTAATAATACCTACCTCTTAAGAGACACTATTTGCACTGTAGATTTTACATATGCAGAGTCTTCTAAAGGTGTATTTTGATGCTGAAAAAGATGATAAATGTCAAAAGAGCTGGTATGAGAAGACCCAGTCTAGACTAGATATGTTTGAAGCACACTGCAGGTAGAGCTTTTTTCACATAAACATGCACCATTCTTCAAAAGATGCAGAGCCCATCCATATCAGAGATTGTTGCTCATCTCAGGGTCGTTAAGATAAAAGGCAACCCACTAACCAAGAGATCTCCATCCTTCAGGGACCCTTTCTGCTCAGTGAGAAGTTTCTTGGTGATTTCAAGCCTAGTCACCACTCTCTTGCCCAGACAATGACTTCCTCTCTACCGGTCCCCAGCTGGTCAGTTTATCAAAGTGGAAAAGAAAATAGAGCAGGCAGGTCTGCTGTGTGATAGTGCACTCCTGTTACTGCCTTTCCCAAATGCAGACCCATCGCTTCTAGTGAATGTCTCAGGCTGGGTTCCCTCCACACTGAGCTTGTGATGGGGATTATTGTGCAGATCATTCATCGAGGGATGCTCTCAGAAGAAAGGGAGGAAAATATGGTGGGCAAAGCTAGAGGCAAAGCTAGGGGAAGACATGAAGACCTGCATCAGTCTGGGCCCTCAGGGGCCTCTGAAGTGAATTGTTCCACAGAGTTGGTGTCCACCTTGAGGAAAGGGGGCCAGCATTTGTATTATGCTGTCAGTCAACCATTGGCTATGTGTTGCTATGAGGTGCATGATCTCCTGCGGAAGTGATTCCCTTAGCCTGATGAAACTTCTCCAGGGCAGGAGGTATTGTAAGCCATTTGCAGCCAGCGCTCACAGTAGCCACAGAGTAGGTGCACCAGGCAGTAAAGGGGATTTGGGTAGCGCCTCGGTAGCACACACTGTGGCCCAGTCATATCTCTGCCTTTGTATGCTGTGAAGTAGTATGTCACCGCCAATTCCTTGAGCATTCTATCTCATTTGATCCTCAGAAGTTGTATAGCCTTATTTCACTTGGAATTATCACTGATTATCACACTTACTTCACAGAGTCATATTAAAGAAAGATTAAATTCAAGAACCCTAGAGTACCCCATGCAGTAGCAGCCTCCCTGTTTCCCAAGGGAGGTGAGTCTCAGATAGAACATGAGAACATGCAGAGAGACAATGAGAGAAAAGGTGTTCTTCCCATTGTGCCCACACTCGGGTTACGGAGAAACACTGTGTCTCTGGAGTGTGTATGTGCAGCTCTTTTTCTCCTGGTCATTGTTCTCTGAGCTTTATTCAAGTCAAGCTGTCAGATAATGTTTTGTTTAAGTACAGCCAGTCCCATATCAGGCACATTTGTTCTTACCTCTTGCCTTCCAAGGCGTCTGAATGTTCCTGCTCTGACAGGTTTATTTCATTGTTTTCCATTTATTTCTACCCTTTCCTCAGCTTCATTTGATAGGTGAGGTGCCTGTGAGTCTTTCTCTTTGAGCAGGCTCTTCCTTTCAAGGGGGGTTTTTGTTAATGTATGTCCCCTGGTAGCAGTAATGGCTGATGTAAATAATAACTGCCTGGCTCTGAGTGATGGGGATATTAGACGTAAGCGCAGGCTACTCCATTCATAGCAGCTCCAGCCTGGAGATCTGCATGGCCACAGGAGGTCTCAGGGACAGGCTGGCTTTTGGGATGAGTTGAAGCTGAGTTCACCTCTTGGTGCTGCCATTTTCCAGTCTGCAGGTAGAGCTGCTGACCGTTGGTAATTTACATCTCTTCTCTGAACCACATTTTCTTCATGTGAACAAGTGGAATTAATACTACCCACAGCTATATTTAACTATAAAAACTTCTTTGCTAGCTAAATCCCACTAAGTTTTCAGATTACTGGTCTTTACTTCAAGGGCTTTATGTTCTAGAATCCAGAACAAGGTGTCTAACCTTAGCACTCTTAATATCTAGGATTAGAACTCTTCTTTGTGTGTGAAAAGCTTCTCTGTGCACTATAGTATATTTAGCAGCATCTCTAGTTTATCCCCAAGAGAGGCCAGGAACATATCAACTTCACTGTGGCTACTAAGTATATCCCCAGACATACTCAAATGTTTCCTGGGGTATGAAATAATCCTCTATTAAAAACTTGGTGGTTCCAGAGAACCACTGTCTAATAGAAATGGAATTTGATGTGCAGCTATAATTTTTAATTTTTGGAGTGACATTTGGAAAGTAAAACAAAAACAACATTAATTTAATAATGTATTTTATTTAACTTAATATTCACAAAATACTATCATTTTAAGAGATAGCCACTATTTTAAAAAGTGGAGGAGAGGAAGAGGAAGGTGGTGAATAAAAATGAGAATTAAGTTGTGCTCTGCACATGTATCAACTCCCCACAATGAATGCAGTCATGTTCTCTAAGCATCTACTAAAAATAACTATTAATGAATGACATCTTACATTCTTTTTGCACTCAGTCTGAAACCCGGTGTATTTTCCACATTTAGCAGAATGCCTCCATTCGGATGCTAAGTTTTAAATGGTTAAAATGAAATACAGTCCTAAAAAGATAAAAACTGTATGCAATGAGTAAACATAATTTTCATTGCTTCAGCTTTTAAGTGTAAGCTAGTTGAAGTAAAATAAGCTTTAAAATTCAATTCCTCTATCATACTAGCTGCATTTCCAGTGCCCAAAAAACACACTGGTTTAGTGACAGTCACTCTGGACAGCACAAACCTTAAAGGTGATGCATATATTTGTCCTCTAGGGCCCTCGTTGGAGAGCACAGAGTCAAAGCTCCACAGGGCTCAGTTCCCTTTATTCCATTTTGCCCCTCCTCCCTGGACATGTCTCAGAGTCTGAAGAGTGTGTTGGGTTGAAGTAGCAGACATTTAGGGAGTTAAGCCCAGGGATCCTCCCACTGAAAGACATAGGCAGAAGCCTCTCTAGCCAGGACTGGCATTTTTCTGGACTGGACTGACTGAGGCTGCAGTGGGAAAATGATTAATTCCTGGCTATTTCTCCTAATAAGACTTGGTCTGCCATGAGCCCACCTCTATAGAAGTAATACCTCTTCTCAGACCCTTTCTGCAGCTCAGCCAGACCTCTCCTCTAGACCCAATATGAGATTGACTGTGTGCAGTCTACAGGTCAGAGTTGTTACACTAAAGGCCACCTCCAGGGGCAGGTAACCATACCCAGTGGTCATTGTCACTTCTGCACAAGGAGAGGGGCCTTGGGGCAAGTCCTCTATTCTTTGAAATTAGGGGATCTTGTGCAAATTTCTGAGCCTCAGTTCCTCATCTATGAAATTATAGTAAACCTGAGTCCTGCTCTGGCCAGACTCAGTCATGGTGAGGGCCAACAAAAGAAATGGGTGAGTCCTAGGCCAGCTCCAGGTTGGAGAGTTGCTAGAGACAGCTCCTTTTATCATTCCTTGCTTCCCTGTGAATCTCATATTAAAAATCTCTAGTACCAGTTCTTTGTCCATTCTTTAAGTTGAAGCCTTGCTTCAGTGACTTGATTTAAACCATAATACCCACCCCAGGAGCGCTTTGCAAATGCCCCTAAAGTAACTTTTCCAGGGTTAGCTTGCAAATCCTGGACCCAAGTAGAAAGAGTTTGCATCTTTGGGACAAGACTGCATAGGTGGAGAGGAGATGAGGAAACAGCACTGCAGCCTTCCTGGGGTCAGTGCTCAGACCCTGCAGGCTTAGACACACTAGGGCCCCTGCCACCCTCTCAGGGACTTGTGTCTTGGTAGGAGTTAATGGATGGTATGAGAATAGGAGCCAGAGGCAGGAGAACCAGATAAAGCTCCAGCACAAGCACCCACCATGATGGACCAGGCTTGGAGGGAAGCAGGGAGACAGACAGGCAGGATAACCACAACTCCTATAATAGCCCAAGGCAAGAGTACGATCAAGAGCTGAGGTGACCTGATGCTGAGGATCCTGAGCCTTTAACCTGAGCGTCTCTGGTCCCCTTTAACTAAGTCCTGAGTTGGTCTCAGAGCACATGCCTGGGATGTACCTGTAGATTAGGGGCATAAGTCACAGCTGTAGGTCAGAGGAGCAAATGATGTCCAGCAGTCCAGCTAACCCTGCAGAGGACCTTCCACAGCTCACCTGTTGTGCTGGTCATGTGGCTGCAGGGCTGACTTTGAAGAGCAGGGGTGAGTTACCTCTAATACTCCATCAAGTGCTGCAGAAGACCATCCTTGTGAACAACAGATATTCAGAGCTGGTCAGACCCAAAGCTGTAGGTACATCATTCCGGCTGCCATCCTGTGTTACCAGTCTGACTCTGAATCATTAGACTCAATGCCGGAGGGGTGTCACATCCCTGTGGGGTGTTCTTCTGTGGCGGGTAAATGTTATACTTCTCACAAAACAAGCAT